TCAACGCCTTTCTCAGTGAGCGATATTTTGAGCCCGATCGAGGAGACCTTCAAGAAGTTTGCAGCCATGGAGAGCAGCGCGTGCCTGGCGTCTCCTCTGTACAGACAGACTCAGGTGTCTCAGGCGAACCTGCAGCAGCACAGCATGAGCCATAACACCTACCACATGCCGCACTCGCAGTTCTCGCACAGCGCCATGGGAGGATACTGCAACGGCACCATCGGCACCATGGGAGACCTGCCGTCCTACCAGGAGAGCATGAGGAACGGCGCGACGGCCACGGCTTGGTACGGCTCGAACCCGGAGCCCAGATATCCGACAAGTGAGTCCGATCAACAGAATCTTTCATCCTGTGTACTTTGATAAATGTCCATCAAAAATGTCATGTTATTAAGGCTTTTGACATTTATTATTTCTTTGACTCTCTCGTTTTAAAGAAATCAATGATTAGCCTATTACTATTTGTTTACACACTATCAAGCTGTCATATTATTAAGGCTTATGGAATTTGTCCTCAAATAATGCAAGTCCATTGCCTACAGAAACCTGCGCGTGAAATATACATATGAAATATTAATATAAATAGGCCGATAGATAGATATGCCGACAGATAGATAGAAAAAAATCTTAGTAAATAAAACAAAGATGATTTCATTAAGTTTAATGTACGTTTTACGTACTTAATCGTTTATTTAGGTCTTTCTACTTCAAAATGTAAAGTTTCATTCAATGTTGCTTGCCGTTTTCTTTCATCGTTTGAGAAATGTCTTGCAATTTCTAAGTGAAAATGGTCTCAGAGTAAATCCTGCACCTTTTTGTAGTGTTGATAGAATTTCTTTTAATTATTTTCTCTTTTCGGCTTTGCATTTGAAATCATTTTTGGTTAATTCTTATTTTTATTCGATTTCATTTATAATCGGCTTATATATGTGGACGTTTTGTACTTGTTTAAAAACTACATTTATAAACGGCTACAGGCTATAAATTTAATATAATTTATAATTATTTTATATTAAATTAAATCAATTTTAGTCTCGTACCAAATACAATGAAAATACATTTCAGAAACACTCACCACTCAGAAATTGCTAGTAAATTTCACAAATAAACGGCAAGTAACACTGAATTAAATGTGACATTTTGAAGAAAGATTGAAGTATTATTTTCCTGTAAAACACACTCCAATAATCTTTATTTACAACAAAACTAGGCATCGATGTAAATATTAATTTGCTTGTTCTCTCAAGTCTCCAGGTTTATGGGTCCATCGGCGGGCGTGAACATGGGAACATTACCGGGCATGGATGCAAGTAAATCTATGG